ATATACTCGTATCTGGCAATGCTGTATATCGTTAGAAAGGTATTGGCATCACCTTTAAAATAGCATATAGTTTGTTTACATGAGCTTCCACGTACAATCGATTGAAATGGAGTTCACAAACGCAGAAATCAGCGCAATTTTGAAATTTTATTTCGCACAGGAGATAACAAGCTTTCGATTCAAACCGCCGAACAGTGGTTTAGGCGATTCCGAAGTGGCAATTTTGATATCGAAACACCCAAGCCTTCCGGACGACCAGTGACCGTTGATACGGATAAAATCATGGAAATAGTGGATCGAGATCGTCATGTGACTATTAGAACCATTGCAGAGGAGTTGCAACTAAGCACGTCCATAGGCATTTAAAGTCGAAAAATTTAACAAAAAAAACTCGATGTATGGGGGGCCTCATGAGTTATCCCAAAAAAACCTTTTCAACCGTGTATCAATCTGCGAATCTTTGTTGCACCGTAATAAACTCGACTCATTTCTGGATCGGTTAGTCACTGGTGATGAAAAATGGATCACATATGACAACATAAAGCGTAAAAGATCCTGGTCGAAGCCCGGTGAGTCGTCTCAAACGGTGGCAAAGCCAGGACTGACGGCTCAGAAGGTGTTGCTGAGTGTATGGTGGGATATCAGAGGAATTATCCATTATGAAGTGTTGCCCTATGGTCAAACCATCAATTCTGACCTCTACTGTGAAAAACTGGAGCGATTGAAGATTGCACTTGAACAGAAGCGGCCAGAAAACGCCAGGCCCCATACATCTTTGGTGACGCGTCACAAGCTACGGGAGCTTGGTTGGGAAGTGTTAATACATCCACCTAATAGTCCGGACATTGCCCCAAGCGATTAAAACCTGTTTTTGGCCATGTAAAATATTTTCGATAGACAAAAATTGAGTTCAAGGGAGGATTGTGAAAATCAAATCGCCGAGTTTTTTGCCAGAAGGGACAAGGACTTCTTTAGGAGAGGCATATACAAGTTACCAAATCAAAATAGCAGAAAATCATCGAAGACAACGGTATATATAGCACTTAAATCGGACAATGCTAACTATGTTAAATCGTCGTCAAAAATCAATAAAGAAACCGGTATGTCATTACCAAACAACCTAATATGTAGTTTATGCGGTCTGAGGTGTCTCCTTCACTGCGTTGCAAACTTCTGACTGAAATTATAATACCCTTTTGCTCTGCAAGAGTATACAAATAAGTTAATATTGTGTGTATGACAGCCGTGTGATAGATTTAATATTTTTTCTTGGAATCCGAAGCGTGATCTAATGTGATATTATTCCACAATTTCCACATAAGTTCAAGGATAAGTTTACCATAGAGCAGGCTCTGGCGCTTGAACGAATGCCATCAGATGATTATAAGATTGTGATTCAAGCTGATAAAACACCGGAAAGATTCAATGCTCATACAATCGACGATGAAGCAATAGTCATTTTTGGTGAAGAATTTAGGTCACGTGACATTGCTCTTCACAATGCACAATGACACACAAGAGATCGTTAGAAGCATTGGATCCAGCGTTGCCAGACGTCCCGATTTTTAAATTAAAATTCAATGTCCCTCGCGACTGGCTTCGTCCCGCTTTTCGAGGATTACTCGACCGTGCGTGCAGCGGTCTGAGGAAGCGCGTGCGACCGCGACTTCCTCTCTTTCTCTTTCGCTCTTTCTTTATTTTAATTTGCTAATACATTTCTATTTCACGAAAATGTACGATTATCTACGAAAGAATAACGAATACCGTTTGGTTTAGTTCTTAGGAAGCAGTGAGCTTGTAGTAAGTTGCATTGTATGCGTAATTTAGTTTAATTTCAAAAATGGCACTAAAAAAAAATTAAATTTTTTTTTGAGAATACGATTAAAAATAAAAAACTGAAATTTAACTTTATTTGAAAACATTTTTTTTGCGAAAAAAAATTTTGAAATTGAAAAAATCAAAAAAGGGGCGGGAGGGGGCGTTACTCAGTGGTGGAATGTCGGCGAAAAGGAAGTGATTCAGCCAAAACGGGTAATCGGAAACACAAAACCAAAAAGATTCTTTAGGTGAACAGTACTGCGCATAAAATGAACTAGGATCAGAAAAAAAATTAAAATTGCAAAAGTTATTAGCTTTTGAAAATAAATTACGATTTTCGTGTTTTTTTTTCTCACTAATTATTTTCTCAAATAAACAGTTTTCAATATTCTTGGATAATCCTAGTTCATTAGTTAAAGGAAACTATTAGGAACATTTAAAAAAAATTTTGATGGCGTTTGGTTAACCAAAACGCCTTCAATTATGTATTTCCGTAAGGTCCGAAAACGTGGTTCCGAGATAAACGCGTTTAAAGTTTTGGCTTCAAATGGCCGGTGCTCGACATGCGCTCCATGTAAAGGCCTGTAAGTCTTGTAATTTTTCAAATTTTGATCTGAAATTTGTTGAGCACATTTTTGGAGCATATAGATATATGCGATAAGCAAGAAAAAATAAATCGATTTTTTTTTCGACACAAGGTGAGAACCTGCCTTTAGCCAACAAAAGCTTAAGTTTTTACGTGATTTTGTTCGTGAGTTATTGGAGTTTACTTATTAGAATCGTTTAAAGATGAATGAAACTGATAGTAGTGTTTAATTAATTTTATTGGCCAGAACTGGAAAACTTTGCACCCAAGAAGAAAGTCAAACTAGAAAAACATCTACTGACTGAAAGTACAGTACAAATTGGCAGAATGATTATAATTGGTTTTGTAATGTAACGTCAGATCAGTTTAGAGCTTACTGTAAATTGTGTAAAAAAAGAGTTTACTATTTCTGATGGCGGATTAAACGACGTAGTGATTTTTATTAAAATACGTTTTCTATGGCTATTTTTGCTGTCTATTGGTACTTAATCGTAATTTGGATCAAATAAAAAGATAAATATTTTAATAACTTCTGATGATATACGTTTTTTTTTACTGTCCCGCTTTCGACGAAAGAATCTCGATTTTTGGCCCTTATTTTGCTAGCAGGTGGTTTCCGACAAATTTGACCGGATTAATAACACGGCCAACAGATTTTTGTAACATTGTACAATCAAAAGAACAACTAATTGAAAATGTTTTTCCAAACATGTTACAGAATTGCTAAAATCATGATGAAAATGAAACGGTCAACTAACCAACTATCCAAGCAAGTGGCAAGGTTAGACTTCCTGCTTTGCAACGAACATCCAGAATTCGACATTGTTGGAAAAGCGTAAAATCAACATCTTTCTATACTTCCAAAAACATTTTGTACTAAGATTCGAAAACAATCAAAGTGACGTTGTTTCTGTCAAACATTTTTAATATCATCATATGTCATATATAATATACATATATTTATATAATTAATTTGCATTACGCGTTCGCCGGCCTATAAAATATCTTTTTATGTATGAAGGTAAATGCCATGAGCCAGGCGACTAAACATAGGCCGGCGAACGCGTAATGCATTATTATTATTAAGACGATATCAGACTGCAGATGAACGCCCTCAAGCTAATGTACCGCAGCGTGAACGTAATGCACAGAATAGATCTGGATCTTCAACGGCGATGACGAATACGTCGTTTTGTTTTGGCTAAAATGCTAAGTACTGCTTATAATTACAACAGTCAGATTGAATATATTATGTACGGATACATTGGAATGATGGACGCAATATGTCCACATTGTGATGCAGCTAACTAACTCACGAACGGCTGGACGGACTAGGCAGCAGATGGCTTTTAGCTAACAAAATTTAAAAAAATCCCATTGGAAGGGAAAAAAGGGGAAGGGGATATAATAATTTGTTGTTGTTTTTAACCCACACAAAAAATTAATTACATGGCAAAACAACGTTTGCCTGGTTCGCTAGTTCTATAATATATAGATTTTTCTGTATTTCCTATGGCACCTATATGATATAGTTGTCCGATTTTTATGAAATTTAATTCGAAATAAAAAAGAAGTTAAAAAACATCATATGGAAGAAATCAAGTGGATATGATCAAAAACAACGCAGTGATCGTTTTTTCAATCTCTCGTATAGGAGCTATCCGATATAGTCGCCCGACCCGGCCCGTTCCGACTGCGGGTAATAACTACACAACTTTTGGTAAATATTCAGTAAGATATATTTAAAACTGAAAGACGGACAGACGTTTTTTGATTCTGATCGTGATGCTGATCTCGAATATATATACATGTGTACATTATGGGGTGTGCGGTGTCCCCTTCACTGCGTTTCATACTTCTGACTGAAATAGTAATACACTCTGCAAGCTAAATGTCTGTACATGTGTTACAATCTTGTCTATTAAGGCGGCAGTAGTCTGCTTTACAGACTTCAAAAAATCGATTTTTTTTGTCTTAAATCTAAGAATGTGTTCAAAATTTTAAAGGCCAATTCGACATATTTTCGAAGCTAGATCAGTTTTAGTGGCCGAGCGTCGAGCTGGTGCGAATGCTCGGGCAGAAGTTTTCTCGAGTTTTCATTTTCACAAGTTTTGGAAAACGGTGCCGGCCATAGTAAAAAAAAATATATGTCCGATCGATTTCTTCGGTATTTTTTTAGTTCATATAGAAAAGGAACGGTAATACTTCGGAATATTGACTCCAGCTATATCTCAGCCCCAAAAGAACTTGGGAACCAAATCAAGATAATAACCCCCTTAGGAGGGGCAGAAGGTTTTTTACCTTGGAAAATGGAAATTTCCTCGGAAAATCAGCGGAAAACTCTTACATGCAAATATAATATTATATCGTCTCAAAATTTCGTTTACCGCAATCATTTCCTTCTCTTTAAAAAAAGTTGTTGAAAAAACGTTTTTTTTCGGCTCCTAAAGCAGACCACTGCCTTAAAGCAATTTCGATGCCTCTTAGCCAATTGAGTTTCTTACGTTTTCAGTAATTTTCTAATTCCATTTACAACAAAATGAAATTTCTATATCGCCGTCCATAATGTTTTTACATATTTGCCTTGTTTTCTTACCTGCAGTGTCAGCAAGATGAAGATCTCGTGGGACAGCAACTCCTGACGATTGAGCATGGTGATGAAGTTGATACTGGTGCGGTTGGTGGTGTGTGTGCTGAAGATTGTGCTCGCGATACTGATAAGCTCGGTAGCTCTGGTTTGGGTTGAGTAAATACTGACGCTTGGGTTTGCACCAGCGTGAAGATGGATAAGTGTATATCTGGCCATGTCGGAATCCTGGCATACGCTGTTTTTTTTTCATGAAGAGAGAACAATGCGTCTGTGCGACCCCTGTCTGAGGGTCAAGAAATGGCATTCGAAGTCGTCGTTCAATGCACAGACGAGTGTTAAAATTTTCACTGTTTTCAAGTAATTCCTTGTACTTTTCATTGTCATTTAAAAACGTTTGTATCTTCTCGAAATTACCAATGTTTACGACTAAGGTTTTGTGAAATTCAGATTCGGAAGCCATATTGTAGCATCAACGTGTCACTGAGCTTGAGATGCTTAAGCACACGCTTAAAAATACAAAAAGAGTTTTAATATATTTGGTTATATTACACGATTTAATTATAGACCAGCTTTGGATATAGAAAATAAAATTTTATCATTGCGGTTCAAAACAAAGAGACGCTAAAACTAGACTGGATGGAATCGGTACATCGATTCGATAGAAAGCGATAGCACATTTAATACGCTAACCCCAACAAGCCGATTCAAGTGGAACGGTTGAGATATGAAAAAGATGTAAAATCACTAATATGTGACATTAACTATCGTTAGTGCGGCGAGCTACATTTTAGAAAAGGTATTTCAAACTTATCAAAAAGTTATTTTTGGTTTTTTTTTTTTCAAAACTAAAGTTTTCAATAAAAAACACAAGTGATATATAATTGAGTAAAAAAACCGTACAACTTTTGAAGCCAGTTAAAATTTAAGCTAGTTTTTGTTAGCAAAAAGCCAATTGACATAGGTTTTTTTTTAAATAAAAAATTGCCTAAAGCGAGGGCGGCTTGATAAGTTAGAGACTTTTTAATTTCCTTCGTAGTCACTCCAAATGCAACAGTGCTGCATTCAACTGGAATCTATTATTGCGCAACTATAAAATTTTGAACAAGCTATGTCGTGCAGTTGTTGTTTGATAGCCATTCAGAACAGATAACGTCGTACATTTTTACGAAAATGGAAAAAAGTGAGTTTCTAGTCACGATGGCCTAAATTCCCGAATCGAGATGCGAACTGCTACCCCATCCAGCATATAAGTTAACACAACCAGTTCCCACGGAGCAAAATTGTCGAGTTGCAGCCCGTATCCGGTGGCCAACACGCGCAGTAAGGGAACTGCCGAATCGACACTCTGGGGTTCATCGCCCGGAGTCCGGCCAGAAACGCGCACGCATCAGGTGACCGTCGCTGGCCAGATACCAAGTGCTGACCCGGCGCTTTAGCGGTAGCTACACTCCGAGAGCTAACGCTTGCGTTAAATAAAAATTAATAACTTTGTAACCCAATTCAAATTATACTTTACTCTCAAGAAGTTAAGAAGTCAAACAGTCTTAATAACTTATATAAGTTAACACAGTTAAGGAGTAACTTATAGGTCAGTACAAATCTTGGGTGTGTCTCGGATCACCCTAGTGCCTTTATATGCAGACTAAGCATAAGTCGCCTTTAGGGGCCGTGCCGGGATCTTGGCATAGTGTCAGCATTTTTGTAAGACTTGACGGCCACGAACAGCTTACAAGTTTCAGTTTGATTTTGATATGAATAAAGAGCGCATCGCTCTACTAAAACAACTCCAGCGAAAGCTGTTTAATTATTGAATAGGTTATCGAGCCTTAAGGGCCCTTAATAACGGAGAGAAGTTCTCCCATCATATTTCCGCAATATTCAGGAACGGCGTTCAGCCCACCAACAGAGGAAGCCAGCGCAAAACCCGGAGAAGGAGTTCCCAAACCCACGTCATCAGGCAGCCACGTCATCACCCACTCCTCACAGACAGCGGCGAGGAACGGCGCAAAGACAAAAAATATAATTGGCAGCCAACTTAGTAGAATTCACGACTCAATATTCTAGACAAAAATATGTAAGTAGTCTGATCTTATTAATGCAGCTTCAAATTTTCAAAAAATACAACAAACAACAATACACAGAGAAAAAAATAAATTATATATACGAGGTGTGTTCAAAAAGTATCGCGAATTTTGTGTTTTTTCAAAAATGATTTATTTATTTATGAATATCTATTTTGTCCCCTTCAAAGTAATCCCCATGAGATTTTATGCACTTGTGCCAAGGGTTTTTCCAATCTTCAAAGCACTTCAAAAAATAATTTTTTTTATCTTGTTCAGCTCCTCCTTCGATGCCGTCTTTATCTCGTCAAGCGTCGTCCTTTCGAGGGCCTCTTCAGGTTAAGAAACAAGAAAAAGTCACAGGGGGCGAGATCTGGGGAATACGGTGGCCGCGGAATCATAAGTGTGTTGTTTTGGCCAAAAAGTCGCGCACAAGCAACGATGTATGAGCAGGGGCGATTTCGTGGTGCAAAAGCCAATTTCTGTTCACCCACGAATCCGGGCGTTTCTGGCGGATTGCTTCGCGCAAATTGCGCATAACTTCTTCCCTGTGCAATATGGGAAAAAAGTCGATTTTTTTGGCATAAAATCAAATTATTTTACAAATTATTTTCAAAAAATAAAATATATTTTTTGAATTTACATACCCTAATTAGCCAAGAACCGTTATCTAAGATTTTTTACTAACAACACTATAATGTTGATAAACGAACAAAGTCAGATGTTCGATTGACTTTTTTGTGTGCTTAAATTAGTGAAAAATCTTTGCAAACTTTCATTGTTTATTTTGTGGAGCAACAAATTGATTTATTATTTCTGATTATGGCAAATCGTAGCAAAGGTATTTATAAATGTATCTTAGATTACATGTTTTGATTATTATGACTTGTTGTCCAACTGTGATCTGTTTTATATGTGTATCTTTTTAGCTTAAAACTTACAAGTTTGTTTGTGTTCCGTGGTGTATAACTTATAAATGGCACAACGTTGCAAAAAGGTAAAAACGCAAAGTTATTACCAAATGTATCCCTAATATCGCAAAACTAATCATTTTTGCAACTTTTTGCACGTTTCTTCAAAATTGAACTTTTAAGGTGCTAACCTAGCAATAGAAATTTAACACAGCTTGAGAGAAGACATGACACTTGGCTAAGCTCGAAAACATTTTTTTCTATAAAAAACGCTAAGAACCAGGTGGACCATGGAAAAAAAGTCTGAAAAACATAAACATATTAACTAAAATCAAAGTTGTATACTTTTTTGTTAAAGGCTCTAAAAAAGTGTTCCGCAAAATGCAAAAAAATCTATATAATTATTAAAAAAAAGTTAGGACAACGAACTTTTTTTAAATTCTTTTGTTTAACAATTTTATTCCAAAAATAAAAAAAAAAATTTTTTTTTTTAATATTATTCATTAAAAAAAAATTTTTAAATCTAAAAAATAGGCGAGGCCACACCCCATTTTCTTAAAATACATTCCTTATTTGATTATTAACTGGAATCAAAAAACAGATCAATAAAATGTTGATTAGTTCTCAAGTTATTAATTAATGCCAAAAAAAATCGACTTTTTTCCCATAGTGCTGTGGCAAGAATGATGCACCACGCCCCTGCAATCAAGAAAACGGTCAGCAAAACTTTTACATTCGAAGTGCTCGGGCGTCCGGCACGCTTTTCGTCGTTCACATCTTCTCGGCTTTCTGAGAACATTTTGTACCACCGATAAACGTTGCTTCGGTCCAAGGTAGCTTCTCCGTATGCCACAGTCAACATTCGGAATGCATCCACGCACTTAATTTCGTTTTTCACACAAAATTTGATACAGGTTCTTTAATCCATTTTTTTGAATAGGTAAAAATCGAAGACAATCCAAAACACGTGCAATCAAAGCAGCTGTCAACAATTAAGTGAACATTCAAAATGGCCGAGCTTATCGGCATAAGTGAGAGACATGAGTAACCTGCGAAAATTCAAAATACGCGATACTTTTTGAACACATCTCGTATTTGTGTTGTTTTTTTTTTTTTGTTTGCGGCGAAACGAGAAATTTAAGTTTAATTACATATTATTATTCGACTTTTGGAGAGTATTAGAAAAAAATGACGCCTAATCTTCAGAAGCGCTTAGAAAAAAAAGTTGTTTAGCGGTAAACATCATTACTCGGTAACGGATAATCTTAAGGCAGGTTCTCACCTTGTAGGGCCGAAAAATGGACCTTTTTTAAAAAAATTGTTTTGAGACAACGGTTAAAGATAAAAATCTGAAATTTGTAACTTTATTTGAAAACATATTTTGCGAAAAAAAAATTGAAAAACCAAAAAGTGGCGGGAGTGGGCGTTGCTCAGTTGCGGATTTTGAAAAAAAAAAGGTGTCCTGCTTACGGAAGTGATTCAGGCCAAACGGTTTATCTGAAACAGAAAAACCAAAAAGATTCTTGAAGTGTACAGTACTCTGCATAAAATTAACTAGGATCAGAAAAAAACAAGAAAGGAAGCTAGCTTCGGCATTTGATACCCTTGCAGTCATCAAATATGTCGAACAAAACGCATAAAGGCAAGACAACATCGAATCTAAGACGATTTTTCTATTCATTTTCCATATTTTTGACTATAGATCATATGGGAGCTATACGATATAGGTGTCCGATTTTGATCAAATTTAATTCGTATTTCAAGAGTCGTAAGAAAACTCTATATTCCAAAAATCATACTTGTCTGATGAAAAACAACGATACTATAATTTTATTTCCATTATTTCTTTATAGATTTTTCGATCTTTCCTATGGCAGCTATAAGATATGGATGACCGATTTTTATGCAACTTTTTTTCCAATATAAACGTTGTTAAAAAACTTGATATTCAAAAAATCATGCTCGTGGGATAAAAAACAACGATCTTATCAATTTATTTCCATTAATTCTATATATAATTTTCGATCTCTCCTATGGCAGCTATACGATAGAGTTATCCGATTTTGATCAAATTTAATCCGAAATTCAATAACAGTTAGAAAACGCCATCTTGAAGAATTCAAGTCGATCTGATCAAAAACAACGGCGTGAGAATTTTTTATTTCATTCTCTCATATGGGAGCTATCCGATATAGTCGCCCGATCCGGCTCGTTCCGACTTATATACTGCGTGCAATAACTACACACCTTTTGGGAAAGTTTCATCAAGATAGCTTCAAAACTGAGAGACTAGTTTGCGCGGAAACGGACAGACGGACAGACGGACAGACGTACATGCATATTTGGATTCTGATCGTGATGCTGATCAAGAATATATATACTTTATGGGGTCTGAGGTGTCTCCTTCACTGCGTTGCAAACTTCTGACTGAAATTATAATACCCTTTTGCTCTGCAAGGGTATAAAAATGAAAATTGCAAAAGTTATTAGCTTTTGAAACCAAAATTTCGATTTTCGCGCTTTTTTTCTCACTAATTATTTTCTTAATTTAACAGTTTTCAATTTTTTTGAAAAATCCTATTTCACTAGTTAAAGCAAACAATTAGGAACATTTAAAAAAAAATTTGATGACGATTGGTTAACCCCAACGCCTTCAATTACTTTCGTA